TGTAGGCGACAAACTAGGGGACAATTATCGTGGAACATACGAAAGCCAACTCGTTTAGGTAAAGCTCATGGCTGCGAATTGCCTCGCCATGACCATCTCTCTTTACCTCTTTTGCTCGCTTGTTTATCCTAACCACCTCATATGCTTGTACCACTTTGACCATAGTGTTCCTTCGGATCTAGCGGTGACAACCGCATCACTATGGACCTTAGGGATAGCCTTGCGCCAATTTAGTTGCACGGTCACGGTGCCCTACGAGTGGGTTTGGATCGTGGGATCATGTCTCCTTTCTTCCAACCTTCGTCCATTCCATGACAAGTTGGTTGAAGGAGTGCGGATTCCAATCTTCTCTACCCTCTTGTTCTCAATCCTCGTCGATCCAGTAAGATGTGGATTGAGCCCATAGCTTGTTTGGTGTTTATTTCTCTCTTGATTCCATTCCTTCGATTCTCGTCGTTTGCTATGGTGAGTGGATCAAAGAAAGCTGAATCCCGTGTCTCCCTCTTTTGGGTCTGTCATGCTTAAGCCTTTGTATGCTTTTACCTATTTAGACCATAGCATTTCCTTGGTTCTTGCGGTGACAACCGCACCGCTAAGAACCCTAGGGATGTCTTAGTGCATTTAGTGCACCTAGGTCATGGTACCCTACAAGTAGTTTGGGCACTCGTGTTCTCTTGTGTGTCACTCCTTTCGAGGCCCCGTCTCTTGCCATGGCATGTGGATTGGAAGAAGCAGACCACTGCTCCTCCCTTTCTCCTCTTGTTCCACCCTCTCTTTGGTTCTCGTCAATTACAATGGCGTATGGATTGAGAGAGATTGGGACTGTTTCCTTTTCCCCTTAGCCCGCTCTATTCGATCCCGTCCTTAACAATGATGATCGGATCAAAGACCAGGCTATCACTTTTAGTTGGCGAGGTTAGCATTTATGTCATGTTCTCGGAACCATGTGAGTCCACCCGATCGACCATTAGAGTGCCATCTCTACCGAGGATGAGACATGGACATGCCTAGATGATTTTCTCCCTCGCCCCTTTTTAGCCCAAGGAAAATGGACTCGCTTCATGAGGGCTAGCCTAGTTTTTCAATGGTGTTTTCCTAAGTCAAGCTAGGGTCTAGGCCATTATTCGTGAAGCCGTACAGGTCCACACGATCGGCCCAGGAAGTATTTGCTATGTTGTGACTCGAGCTTGTACTTAACAGACAACCACTTCTGTTTCTCTCCAGCCTAAGTCTCAGACTTCCTCCGCAAGGGCTAAGTCCTTTTCCTTCAGTGTTCTTTTGGTGTTTAACCTCTCTTCCCGTGCTTTGTTGCCTCTTTATTTGTGGTCTTTCTTGGTTAGTGGTTGATTGCTCCCTTGTTTTGTTTGTCGTACGAGCGAGGTAATTGCATCGGGGATGACAAAGTTCGAACCGAAATCCATTGGAGGGAGGAGACGCATACGACAATAGGACTTGGAGGGGAACGGCTATGGTTACACTGAGGATCTTAGAAATAATCAATCAACAGATGCCATGTCCCACCCAACCTCGTAGAATCCTATTAGACATGCTATAATGTAGATGCTAGTGCTTTACTTTTATGCAAATGATCTGTGATAGGTTGTATAGTAGAATTGCTTGTGAGCCATTACGTTGTTGCAACCTATACCCCTGCACACCCGCTGTTAGGCTAGACACTCGCTTACTTACTTGCTACTGCTTCTACTACGCATTATATCTATGATGTGATGCTTGGTGGAGGATTATTTGTGAGTGGTTAAGGCACTTGGTGCCGATAATGTGGTAACAACCGAGGGAGATCTTGGCGTGTGTCCTGGGTGTGTGGTGAGGGTTGAGCCGATCGAGCAGGATCTTACGACGAGTCGTTGGACGAGTCTTGCCAAGGGGTGCGACCTAGGCATCCCCTACGAGAGGTACCTATGGCGGGTGCATGTGAGATGAGGAGATCCCATGGTGGAGTGTCTTTGTGGGATGAAGCCTCGGGATAGAGGTGCCGTCGAGGCATAGGGTGTTGGTTATCCCCTTTGAGAAGATATCCTATCCGGTCCGCCTAAGGACTGGTATGTCGAGAGAACCAGATCATAGGACCTTATGTGCATACCACTCGTTCCTAAATGGGCGGGGGACGGATGCTGATCAGCTAGGACGGTGCCACTACTACTAGGTTGTTAGCAGATAGTGTAGGGAGGTACGGCCATAGGACCCACACCCTCCTAAGACAGCGTAGTGACCTCTGGGGGCCTAGTATTACGTCTCACAGTCTCAGTGTACCGGTGGACTCCGGGGTGGCCCAGGGCTGAGTGGTAGGGTGGCATCGCACCGGTTGGAAGGTAGCCCAGTATCAGCCTAGGCAAGGCACCGCTGATGATGGTGATCTTGTGGTTCTAGGTGTACAAGCTCTGCAGAGTTGATCGATCTATATGTATAGTCACATCCTCGGATATAGACATTCCTATTACCTACGTTTTTCTTTATTAGTGAGTGAAGTCCTTTCTTCCTCTCCCCCTGGGTTTGGTGTTGGATTCCGACATGAGCCGATGAGGCAAGGCACGAGAGGGAGTCGTCCTTATCGCCTAGAGAGTAAGAGTGTGGTGAAATATGTGTGATGGGATGGGTGAACGTGTGGATGAAATGGGTTAAAACTTGATGAACTATTATAAAATATTGATGAACTTGCATAGGAAACATACATCCATATATAGGCTCTTTTACTCTATTCTTGCATTTCACTTACCACAAAGCATACGCAAAGCATAAGGTGGGAGCCAGTGACCAGTATAAATCGTACTGAAAGATTTTTGGCAGGTTTTCGATGTAATCTACGACGACAGTGGAGATTAGGAGGATTAAATGGTCTCGTTCCTACGCTCAAGTTTGGTTGACGTGGTGAAGTCTATGCCCGCTGACCTTCTACGCCGACTGATGATTGCCCGTGAAGAAAGGAGCCTTCACCCGTCGACGCGCCACGTCTACTCTGATGTTGTTATGTGTGTGTTTCCGCCAGTATAGGTTGTACTTAGGTGTGATATCGGCGCAAGACCCTAGACCTGGCTGCTGCGTATGGCTGTGAATGGCTCCAATTAATTTGGAACAGTCGATCGGATTGGAGCAACTTTTTAGACATCTCCTTCTTGTTACTACATCATCGTGTCGTACTGTTCTTAGTACGCCGGTTGACTATACATATAATATCTACTCGCAGAGCAGCGGGAGATTTAGAAATTAATAAAAGATGGGGCTCAACTTTTAACCTCTAGAGTTACTCTTTTTTCACTTCCATGAATATAAAATTCACAAACGGCAGAAGATACGTAAGATGAGACTTTCGAATTTATAAAACCAGTCCTAAAATTATCGGTCCTTAAATCACCTCGTAGGGGGATTATAGGTTACCTGTAAAATCTATTGTCATTAGGTATTAAGCGTAGGTTAATTCATTATATTCTTTGTAATAAAATCAGTTCTAAAATTATTTACAATTTAACATCTGTGATGTGTATTTTGAAAAAAAAATAAAAATGAATATTTATTGTCACGCATGATTTCTTTTATTAGCCAAAAAAACGACATGTGATTTGTTAACGGAAACGACAAACTGTATTTCTACATTTTATTCTGGTGGCTATTTGGATTTGGCAGTTGGAACTAATGGTGCCAGTGCTGGTCCATTCCAACGTTCCAGTGTTTATACAATGATATACTCCTATAATTTAAACTATAATATACGGAGTATATCCTGTTAGTAAGTTTTTTTAGAACCCGTAAATAAATTCTATTATATTGGTCCACCTTTACTCAAGGCAATTATGTTGGCCCACCTTTAAAAAGAAATACAACATTCGGCCCAGACATTTTTTTTTGAGAGAATATATATTGGCCCAAACATAAGAAGCAAATATTCAACGAACATTGGTGAAGGCCCATTGCAGACCAGTTGGTCAAGCCCGCATTGGCGACTGAAAACAAAATCTATTCGGCCTGCTGATCTCTGGGCCGTGGCCCACAGAACATACGGACCTATGTCGAAGGGAGGAGAACTTTCAGCCGTCACACAAACGGCCCATCCTACAGGCCCTTCCATGTTGCCGTGAGCGTTGTCGTGTCGAGGATGTCCGAGCCGATCATGTCCTGGCCGCCGTCTGGCTGTCCGGCAAGGCTCCGACGTGCCTCAGGATGGAGAACAGGAGGAAGACCTGCATGCCTACCTGCTCTGCTCTGTAAGTTTTATTATAGATCGAGGTTAATCGGTCAAACCCCTGTATTGCGCCGTTCGGCTGGTTGAAAAACCAGCCGGAATTCACTGTTTACGGCTGAAAATCACTGTTTACACTCTCACAAATTCCTCCAGATTCATCCAAATTCCTCCCAGCGAACAGGGCCCCTCGTCCTTGCATCGAATTTCCATTGTAAATAGGATGCTGGAGGAGCACTGCTCATTTGTTCTCCAGAGTCCATAGATATGTACAATGAAACTGAAGTTCTGCAGGTAGTTACAGCATTCAACATGTGTCATGTGTCTATGCAAACCAGGTAGTAGTCTGTTGCTTAGCAACAACACATTATACTTGACTTCATAAACTGGGGCCCTTCCATGTTGTTTTTGTAGCACAATATCTCATTGGAATTTGGACTTGGGAATGTGAGTGAGATAAGAAAAAGGAAAAAAAGAAGAAACTTCTATAGGAAACAAATGACATCAGCTAAGAGCTGAGAATGACACATATGTACATTTCAAGTAAAGAAAAAAGGAGGGAAATTGGCAACTGTACATACAGGGAACTAAAATGATCAAAATCAATATTGTTTCATGCATCTACACTTTCCAATTGACCATGGAGTCTGAAGAATTTTGATGTATTCACACTGTTCTTGTAGTATCAGCTAGCTCTGAGAGTCACATGTTCCCCGCAGAAACATGAAGTTTCTTAGAGCTACACGACAGATAAGAGTGTGTTATGTTCAGATACAGATTTCTGAATTTTTCCTACCTTTTTTGGTAACTACAGCTTAATTGCAACATAGGCTCCAGTTCCAGCTATAGCGCCCAGTGGCGTTGCCACCATGTAGATCCAAATCTGAGTGTATATACAGGTTGCAATTGCCGGTCCAAGTGTGCGTGCAGGATTCATTGATGCTCCTGTTGACGGTCTGCTCATACACATTAACAAGCAAAGTTAGAGTATATTTTTGTGAAATTTCAAGTACACAAGAAATCTCCTAATGGCAAGTACTTCTGAACAATTCCATATGCACATACCCTGCGACAAGAGCATTCATCATTATTGTTGCCCCAACTGCCACTGCTATCAACTCTTTCACCTGAAGATTTATGAGAAGATCATTATCAGCTTTGGCTTCATACAATGGGAAGAAGGCAAACAGGATTAAAAGGTCGAAAGCGACATAAAACTTACTGCATGGGGATCAGTGGCCAGAGCGGTGATGATGAACAGAAGCACGAATGTCGTGATGAACTCAAGGAAGAAAGCTTCAGTAGTGCCAATCTTCGGTATGGTGGCGATCCCAGGATTCACCGGATGATAGATGCCCTTGACAGTGAAGGAGGCAGCAACGGAGCCCAGAATTTGTGCAGCCACGTAAGGCAGGATGTGAGCAAGTGGGAGGTGGCCAAATACAGCCATGGCGATGCTGACTGCTGGGTTCAGGTGGCAGCCAGATATGTGGATGAGGGACAGCACAAGAACAGTGACAGCTAAACCTGCAGAGGTTGCAATGCCGAGCAGACTCTCGGCGCCATCATGCTGTTCATTCATGATGATGGTGGACAACACAGTGAAGATCAGTATGAATGTGCCAAGGAATTCCGCGATCATCCGGAATGCAATGGCCACTCTTTCAGGTCAACATTTAATTTCTACAAAACTCAATGACAAATTTCAGACAGTTAAACTGAACTGGAAGGTTTTATAACTTTACCTTCTTGATCAGAGGAACTGCATTGATCTTTTGTAAGCCTTGATTCCATCGGTGATGATGAATTGCATGTGCAACAGAGGATTCAGCAACATCAGCATGTGGTCGTGAGCTGACGCTGCCGGCATGGATCAGCTCAAATGGCATAATCTTGGAGGTTGCAGCCCTTGGGGAGATGATGATGGAAATCTTGTTGCTCTCGCTTGTCTGCATGGGAGGGACTGCAACTGCAGCCACATCACCCATACTGCGCTTTTGCTCTTCCATGCTATTCCCCTCGAAGCCAAGCAACTAGACCTTACTGAGTAATGGATTAAACTGGATGGCGATGATCTGAACTCTTCCTTTTTATCTTTATAGGACCAAAGGAATTCTGCTGTTTGATGCTTGGGTGTGATATGGAACATGGCAGTGAAGTCGAGGGGTATTTATAGGCCTCTGATTTCATTTGCACAATATGCCTTGTAGCTTCTGTTGTCAAAACCAGCAGCCTCCAAATTTGCAGCGGTTGTCAAAACCAGCAGCCTCCAAATTTGCAGCGGCAGAGGTGCTGAGTTCATGGATTTCAGAGAGGCGGTAGCAGAATAGGTAGATACTGGCCCAAGTATAATACTCCTATATTACATGATATTATCCAACAAAACGCCATGGGGAAGGAAGTTGCTAGAGCAATGTTAAGTATAATAAAAATGTCAACGGCTCCCACATCTGAAGTAGTGTTCAACTATCAAATGAGAGTGCCTAGCAGCTGTGTTTATTCAATTATATTTGTTGCCATCATCTCTGATCTCTGGTTCATAATGGACTATTCAGGCCGTGGCTCAGTTAACCACTTAACCTATTGTTTAGCTGTTCACATCGGCAACACGTGCAAATTCTATTCTGAGATTTTATTTTAATTCGAAGTATTTCTATTGGACGAGATGACCATGATGTTATTTAGATACTTATCCTATTCTGGATTAACAAAACAGGAGTAGAGGGATAACTAAGCCAAAACCATTTCTAAAAACTAGCAGTTGGAGGACAGGAACAACTTGTCTGCAAAATTGAGATGGAGGCGTTGACCTTGGCATTCCTGCCTTCATTTAAAAACCAGGGCGCTGATCCGGCACACACCTCTGCCGCTGCAAATCTGGAGTAGTTGATACTGGCAAAACCACATGCCATGGCGGAATGCGAGAACCAAGATACTGTTGATCCAACCCATACACAGATTCCTATGAGATTCGAAGGAACAAGGATGGGACAGTTACTCCTCTCATATGCACTAACTTATTGCAGAAAATGTTATACAACCCTGAACTCGCACGTAGTCCAACTGTCAAATTGAGTTTGGAATTTCTGGGGTTACCACCAATATATTAGGGAAAAAACAAAGTACAGAATGATCAGTGTAACTCCTTCAAGAGACAAAGAAGAAGGACAAAAATCAGTAGAACTAGAATAGAAGTCAAAACTAAATCAGACTTTGTATCCATTCTTGAATATGAGGGAAGTATCTTTTCTTGGTGCGCCAAAGGAAGTAAGTAAATTCTGAACAGAAAGACTTGCAGCCTTGAACAGAAGCTGGGATGCTTTTGAAGATCTGATTATTTCTAGTCGGACACGGTTATGAGTCGCGGAGGCCAGGGACCGCAACAGCAATCAAAGCTAACGTTTAACGAAGAAGAGAAGATGAAAGCCTCTGCCCGATCGGCCGATCAGGGCGAAGGACCAGAGGATGCGGCGAAGGCACCCGAACGCGATCCGAGGCGGAGGCTTCGACGCCCTGGGCAGAGGCGCCCGGATGCAGCCAATGGCGAATGCTCGGGCGGCACCTGCGGAGGCTACGGGGAGTCGGCGCGCAGGTCGCCCCGGACGAAGGCCCCGAGAGTTGAGGGACTTCCCGAAGGACAGCGGTGCCGAGCCGTGGGTGGGCCACAGACGGACTCACGGTTGTGGCCCATCAAGCAAAGGCGGTTGAAGAAGAAGGCACCCAAATTACCCTTAGCAGTTTGTATTAGTATAGGAATATTCTGAGGATATACTGTAACCGTCAAGGGGTAAAATTGTAAAAGAGTAGCCTTAGCAAGCGGTGCCATATAAAAGGGGAACACAAACTCTGTACAAGGGGGAGGTAGTTGAATGCGTTTATGAAACCCTAGTTTGCTCTGGACCCACTTTTCACCTGACACGCCTTCGCCCGAGGCACCTGTCCCGGCGAAGGCTTCGGCCTCCTTCTAGTCCCACCCGCTGGAAACCACTGTTTTCCAATATTGAGGCCCACCGCGGGTTGGCCAAGCAAGACCCACGATGGCAAGAAAGAGAGCAGCCTCCGCTAGGGTTCCCGCAGAGCCCACGACGAGAGGACGACCCAGGCGTAGTGCCCGCAGCACTTATGCTACAGCCCCAGAAGATCAAGTTGGAGAAGAACCTGCGGTCAAAGACTAGCCTCCGGCATCCGAGGAGCAGCAAACCCCAAGTCCCACTTCAGAACAAGAGCTTCAACAGCTACAGGCCTAGTTGCAGAACATGCAACAAAAACGAGATAGGGTCGCAGCAGCCTTCGCCGCAAATCAACGTGTAGCCCAAGCATCATCTAAAGAAGTGGAGATTAGGCAGCAGCTAGCCGTCTTATAGGCCGAAATACAAAGTATGCAGCATTCGCAATCCAACTTCAACATGTCCAACCAACTCCACTCAGCAAACCAAAGCCAACCCAATCCCCCGCCACGTTCCATAGCACAACTAACCTTCGGCATACCCTACACTTCACCACAAACCCACAGAACCATCGATTCCAAATCACCACTATCCGAAGGCATCCAAAGCTCACCCTGGCCTCCCTCCTACAAATCCATCACCTTGCCCAAATTCAATGGAAGATCAGACCCATGACAGTTCATCATGAGCTTTGAGGCAGCAGTAGCTTCCGCTGGTGGAAATAAAGCGGTGCTAGCCAAGTCCTTTGTCATCCCAGCTGAAGGCGATGCACTAGCCTGGTATTCAATGCTAAGGCCAAGTTCTGTCTATTCATGTAAAGACCTTCGCGACAAGATCTTAGCAAATTTCAAGGGGTTCATAAGTGAATCCTTGACTTTCATGGACCTATTTCAATGCAAGTAGAATCAAGGAGAAGCCCTAAAGGACTACTTTCATAAATTCGTGCAAATGAAGGCAAAAGCACCCAATGTCCTAGAGGACGTTGCTATCGAAGCAGCAATCAAAGGCCATCGCATAGGTCCATTCACAGCTCACCTAGCCAGGGAAAAGCCTCAAACCATCGAAGACCTTTATAGCGAATTTGAGAAGTATTGCAAATCTAACAATGACCTCCGTAGAAGACTAGAAGAACAAAACTAAAGCAAACAGTTCTAGGGCAACAACAGAAACGCCTAGAAGGGTAACAGAAGCCAAGGTCAGCCACAGCCACAGCAAGCGCAAAACCAGCAAGTCTTCAACATAGAACACCGAGGAAATAGCCAGTAGGGGCAGCAACCGGCAAAGGCAGTCCCAAATGACACGTCCTAGAAACAACCCGAAGGCAAGGGAAATAGCCAAGGTAGGAACTGGAACAGAAACCAAAACCAAACACAGCAAAGGCAGTATTGTTTCTTTCATGCAGAAAACAAAGGGCACACAACCAAGGACTGCCCAAACACCAAGGAGACCCAAGAAAGGATTAAAAGCAGAGCAAATCTGCCACCTCCACCACAACAACTCGTGAGAGAGGTGAACCATACCTTCGCAGCATCTCAGCAGCAATACTGCCCAATTTACCCAAGCCTAAACTTCACTCAAATTCACCCATCCACTTTAGCCACTGCCTACTTCCTAAACTTCCTACCCACATGGAGACCAAGTACTCAGCAGCAGGGGCAGACTAACAACCAATGGGTAGAGGCCAACCTCACTTACATAAACCCAAGGCCTCCGCACATAACATTCATTAAGATCATCCAGCCATCCTAAATACATAATAGACAGCTAGAGGCATTGCCTTCACCTCCAATAACACAGCTCACAGCACCCAAAAATGAACCTAACCCAAAGAACCAACTCCACCCTCACACACCGCTTCCAACCATTGTCCTTGCAACAGATGTTATGCAAGTCTTCTATGCAAGGGACAAGACAAAAGGAAGGCTAAAAGTAGTCCTAGAAGGGAAAAGGAAGATTGTCGGTGTTGATGGAGTGACGGACGAAGAAGACTACAGGGGCTATCAGGAAATGCCTCCATTCGGGGTGAACGTACCCCTACCTATCCTTCAAGGGGGCGACGAATCTGCTTACGTACGGCTTGATCACAATGATGCCCTCATTGTTGATGCATTTAAAGATAGTTAGATTATTGTTAACTAGGTAATCATTATTCGGACGTTGTTCACCAACTATGTAATCTAATTTATATTTTATGCGCTTCTCTAAAATTAAATAATTGACTATGTAATCAAATATTGAGATGATGTTCAGAAACACTATTATTTGATAATTATAGACCATTAATTAATTATCATAGAATTAAATAATCGAGACACAAATATTTGTATTATTTTACAATAAATTATATGAAAGAAAACATAGTCAATTATTAAACGGATAAAAGAAAAAGCATAACCTAAACTAACGTAATCCCTAATGCTAGCGCAGCGGTAAGGCCCTATAATCTAGACCTCGAATTAATTAACTCCCGTTTAGAGGATAAAAGAAAAAAGAAAACATACCTTACGTACTCCCTATCACTGCGCAGCGGTAAAAGCCAGCTACTATGAAGCCCGCGCCCTTGGTTCAAATCCTAGGTGTGGCAAACTTTTTTATATATTTTTACAGAATTAAATGAACCTCAACTTAAACTATAAAAATGATAACAAAATGTTTCCTAACATAAATCCTCCTTTAATGCAGCGGTTAAGCCACTAATCCCTCTTTCTCGCTCCCTCGGTTCGAAACCTAGGCGGGACAAAAAAAAATTTATTTTTTTATCCAGAGCCCGCGGTAGTGGCTCTAATTTCAAAAAAAATAAAAGCCGAGCACCTACGGCAGCGACAGCTATTTGCCAGGCCTATCACTGTCGATTTTTTCATAAAAACTGACAGTGATACATTGAATCACTGTCGGTTCTAAAAACTGACACTAATGACCCCTATCACTGCCGGTTTTTTATTAAAACCGACAGTGATAAGAATATTCCCTCCACGGGCCAGCAGTGCTCCCGCTAATCATCACAGCAGGAGCACTGCTCCCACCTACCATGACAACTAGCCTATAAAATGGCGCCCTACTAG